CTTACAGCAATGGAGCATTAAGACAACTTATATATAATTCCCAGTCCTCATAGGATTCAACCTCGAATAAGAAATTCTCTTTTGAAGCGTCGCTGAGGAATAAACTGAGACGAGGATTGGTTAAGGTTATGTGATGATGTTAACATGAATCAGTGAGGCTTGAATCAGAACGAGAGTCGAAGAAAACGTAAGAATTTCTGTACCAGAATATTGACAGACATGAAAAGGATTATATCTTTGTTACAAGGATGATATTGGGAATCAACCAAAGGAAATAGAATGGGGAGCATACATGAAGAATTCTTTGATTTATTTATTAACTGGTAAGTTATATCAAAGATCAATTCATCTAAGATGATGTTCTTGATATCATGATGACCATGACACAGGTTCCAGTTTTAAATGGGCCTTTTGATGAATGCTAAGATTACATTATGTCAGATAGAGAATTGTTCTAATCATTCTAAGTTTCAGATTTTGTGACATTAATTAGGGCTGATTAAATGAAAGTTTCTCATACTGAATATTCAGCTTCTAACACTGCCAATCTCAAAAGAAAGTGTTTCATCGCTATTTTCTAAAACAGTGCTCTTAACAGCTGTAAAAACAGTACTTTATTGCTGTTCAAAAAATGCTGTTAGAATCTCAATTCTCCACTGCACTGTTCAGTACTGTTTACAGCGCTTAGTAACAGTACAGGTCACTATTTTCAAATATCATAAATATCATATTTTGCCATGAGACATTACCTCACGCTTCACCCTTAACATTAATATGATCATTATATGACATTTCATGTGTATTCTACTATGCATGGTTTTCTATTTGGTTTATTTTACACCGTGCTCAAACATTTGTGTTTTCACCTCACTTGGTTCAGCTTCAACATTGATTACACTAGATGATGTACAGCTACAGTAGCATGCAAGTAAAATTACATTAGGACATCCCAATGTTCAATTCTAATAAATTGATATATTATTAACCAGCATTATCCAATAATATATTTACTTGATTTAATAATGTAAGTGGTAACACGAATAATATAAATGACATGTATTGGCATTGATTCTCTTTGAGACCTTTATTCCTGAAAATGTTAATATTCCCCATGTGTTAGGAGATAGGATGACTCAACTGATCAAGTCCTAGTAATCTCACATTAGAGGCTTACCCAGACTGAATAATGATTCTACTATATTCACTCTCATTGAGCTGAACATTTTAGGCATCCTTGGCCCAAGAGTAATTCATTGCATTACATTGTGATCTGCTATGAAAGCAGTGAAGGACCGATCTTGAAGGTGATTTTAGATGACAGTTTCACGTTGAGCCTTTAATCATTCTGGTCCAGTTGACTTGTTTGGAGGGCAATGTGTAAAGAATATACTAAGTTTCTATCAAAGATGACTCTTCAATATCCTGAAAATATTGATTTGTTCACTATAATTTCAAGTCGTCTTCAAGTTGTCTTCTATTGATTGCAGTGTTAATAGTGCTATAGCCCTGGCTCTCTTTAATGACTATGTTAATATCATCTCTGACTGGAAAGCAAGAAATGATCTTTACTGTTATCTGACCTCATAGGGACAGAAGCTGATCAACTCATCTTGTGTTTTGAGGTGAATCTCATAGCAACAAGGTAATGAAGAGAAATGCACTGAACAAGTGGAAGAGTAAAAGGGAGGATGGCTTTATGGAGATAGCAAAGTGAAGAATTCATGGACTTCAAATTCAAAGGGATACGGGAACTTATAAAAAGGGTACATTTGAATATTATCAGGGGACTATAGCAGATAGAGCAAGTGAAACCCTAAAGAGAACAAAACAGTATATTATTTTTGGCCTATGGGATCGACCAGGCATCCGTCCGTTGGTCCGTCCTTTCTTGCAGCTACTATAAAAATACTGGAATATTCTCACAAATCGTTGACTTTAATTGCTAAAACCAAGACACATGATTATTTTCATAAACCCCAAAATATTATATATAAAGATTATTGGTTTTCACACTTGGCATCAACAACTGTCACATCTATTATCACATAAACACAATGATCAATGAACAGAGATTCATAAGTTTGAAATATAAACCATTCTCATACGTCAGTTTTAATATTAGTAATATCACTTCATGATAGAGGGTAATTGCCTGGTGGCATTGGAATCATTTCAAATTACAATCCTTGCCAGATCAAGTAAATATTGATTCTGAGTAACTGCAGGGAATTCCCTTTAGATTTGGTGCCAATCCAAAAATGCACCCTTGAGAGCATCAAACTTTCACAACTTGTTGTCAGAATATGATCAATGTGTTTGAAGAGTTATTCCCAATGTGGTTTGGTTACTTTATAGAATATAGATTCCATAAGTTACATTGCCCCAGAGCAAAGTGTTCCAAAATTTCGATCCATGATTGCGTTAATTAACTGTGATGTTTTAAAAATTTGTCAGAAATATTCACAGGAAAGAATCAGGTGATGATCAGAGATTTCATTCTTGAAATTTATAGAGATATATTAAAAGGAATATGTATTTTTTGAAGTCTGGAATGACCAGATGATCATATATATCCGAGAACAAGCTTGGTAAGGTTTACTTCAGTATGTAGATTACATAAGCTTATTATATTGTGCTCTCATAAATATGGAATTTTATGTTAAATAAATGAATTTGTGAATACAGAAGCAGACTGTCAAACAAGTTCAGTTGTATCCATGATTTTAGTATTTCTTCTGTAGAGGGGGTTATATTAGATAAGTAATATAAAGGGGGGGTGGTAGGGCTGTAACATTATGGTTCATCTTATTGTGTCACTACCGCAAGTGGTGTCATATTGTGGTAGTATCTAGCTGTTTGTGCACTGTGTTCAGCATCTGGCAGTTAGATTTCGGAGTTTGGTGTCGAAACAAATGGCATCTGTAACAAATGACAGGTGGTGACATTTTACCTGTTTACAAGTATGCCCCATTACCCTCTAGAGTCTAGATTGGGTGTTTGTGTTTATAACTTCCATAAGCCAAGAGGATGTTTTGTGTTTTAGTAGAGTAGCTGAATCTTTAAGACAGGTGATGTGTTTGTTTTTAACATTTATAAGCGTTAAACAAGTGTTCTCATTTGAGCAGCTTACAATATTTGTAATCAAAAAGTTGTATATCTAGGTATTTTTATGTAGAGAAGCAATTACTTTCAATTTCTAGAGATGTGCCCTGATTAAAAGAAAATATATCATTAAGTGAAAATCTGCCATTAGCAAAATAGGAGATACTATTTGCTAGTAGACAAAAATCATATCACTCTAGATCAAATAGGATATCTTAGCTATGTTTCAAGTTTTACAAAAAATCGAAATAATTTAGATTTGAATCAGTCTTTTGGATCCTTATATAACTGGTGCTTTGATTATTGATACTGTAGGCTCGCTTTGACTAAAGATATAGCAATAGAAAACCATTGATTTCTTCTCCAAGATCGCGAGCTGCGGCGCATCAATGATTGTATCCTTCTCCTTCTCAACATCATGTCGTAGAAGCTCCTGAGTGATGATGTTGTTTAATGTTGGGTAGAGGTTAGGAATTTAATTCAATTCCTTAGCAATTATACAGGATTTGTTTTCCTGAAATCTTCATTTTTGCATATGTTTGCATTCTTGTAATTTCTGATTTGATTGAATTGGGTACAATCTATTTTGACACGCCTTCACTATATCCAAATAAATGCAAAAAGGCCACAGTATGGGCCATTATTGGCTGATATCAATATCTGATTTCCTTTTTTACAAATTGACACAACCTTGAAAATGTCTTCCATCTGGGACTTCCAAAGTCACCTTGCGTTAACTAAGTTGGAGCAATGGAAACCTTGAGAATCCAGATGGATGTCTTCCGCATATACATTGACTGAATGGTTAGCCTGAGCCTGACATGTGTTTCAAGCCAAGCTGAAAAATTCATCAAACAAGAGGACCTCTATTCTTAATTAACAATCATGTCCTTTGCATTTTTCTTTTGGCAATTTGCAAGTTTCCAGGAAGCTTCAGTAACATTGATTAATTTGAAATCTGCCTTGCTAGTTTGGTCATGAAAGCTGGGCTTTAGAAAATTACGTTCAGTGATTTGGATTCTGTGTGCCTGCTTTATTGATGGCTTGCTCAGTGATGGATGATACATAGTGTCAAAGTTAAGTTGTGACTTGCTTGAATCATGAATGATCAGGTAATATTATTGAATAAAATTCATACACAGAGACTAGCTACAAATATTCATGAACTGTGTGGTTTATCATTCAATGATTTTTGAAAGACTGTACTCTAGTGATATCCTTAAGTTGCTAGATTTTAATTAAAAGAGTTTTACATGGTAATCATTCTAAATATTCATAGATACATTCATAGCATAGAGATTTCAACGGGTTAACGTGTTCATATTTTCGGCAAGGTGCATCCATGTTGCTTAATTGGTATATAGAGACCACTCACCACTGTATTATTTATGAACTGCTATTCTCTTTTATGAGATCATTGACCATATTGCCAATTGCTGCAAAAGGCTTGTTGGAATGTCATGCAGATAAGAGTTAGAATTGGGAATTGTAAAGCTACAGTCTCATGATCTGGATTACCTGTTAGTTAATATCATCTATCAGGAAAGAGTTAAGGAAGTCAAGTCCCTGTTGTCAAGTAGTCTGTGGCTGACAAGGCAGGATAGCAAAATAAATTCTCAAATATAATGTTATCTTGCAACAAACAGGGCTAGTGAACAATTTCAGGTTCAGATGAATGAGATCTGTATAATTGCTACTGTAGGTCAACAACAACAACAACAACAACAACAACTTCAGACAACTAAAAGGTCAACTTATCATGCGGTTATATAATGCAAATCTTCATCTCTCTATCTCTCTATTTATTCTATATATTTTTAGGTAGCTCTGTTATATCTATCCATTCCATGTATTTTTTTGGTATCTCTATTATATCTATTCATTCTCTATATTTTTAGGTCTAGTGGAGGATCACGTAGGGAGGACACAAGACGTGATGAAGATGACGAGGAGGATGAGGAAGAGGAGATTCTTGGCTCAGATGATGATGAACAGGAAGACCCACAGGATTATACCAAAGGTAACAATTTAAACAGTTTCTCTCAGTCTCTGAAGTTGTTAAATTAACCTTAAAGTATGTCATTAAAAAAGTCATTGAGCGTCATTCGTTGTATATATGTAGTAAAACGTCAAAAGCTCCCAAAAATGAAAAATTCTCTAGTTTCAAACTGATTTTAGAGCCTGGGATTCAAGAGGTTAATGTTCTGGATTTGTCAATATATGGTGAAATCCAATTAATTAAATACACACAGCATTATCATACAGCTACACAATGGTATCATACAGCTATGCAACATTATCATATAGCTTTACAGTATTATTATACAGCTATAGCATTATCATACAGCTACACAGCATTATCATACAGCTAAACAGCATTACTATACAGCTACACAGCATTATCATATAGCTAAACAGTATTATTATACAGCTATAGCATTATCATACAGCTACACAATGGTATCATACAGCTACTCAGCATTATCGTATAGCTAAACAGCATATTATTCAGCTATTGCATTACTATACAGCTACACAGTATTATTATACAGCTAAACAGCATTATCTTTATCAGCAACCTCTGCTCAATATGGGGAAATCATTAAACGCCCTATAATGGAATCTAGGTAATAGAATTGATATATGGCTGTAGAGAGGGGCATTGACCAGGCAAACAGTCCTTTCTGATTAATGTCACACTTGTTTGATCCTGTACAAGGAAATGTTAGATGAAAAGAGCCGGAAGAAATACATGTTTGATTCAATTAGAATACTGCACAACTCTAAATTGACATTATTATAAAATGAAGTGAGGATAATTCCAGTGACTATCAAGCATGGAGATTATTTTTTAGAGAGGAGAATAACATAAGAGTTTGCAGAAATTCTATTTCCTTAATGCAGATTTTGTAAATGGATGTTACTGCTTGCTGCTGGCAATTGCTAAGTCAGCTTTATAAGGAAATGACTAGAAGGAAAATCCAGACTTCTTGAAATGATCGAATATTGATTTTACATTTTCTTCCCAGAGAAGTAAGTTTCCTCAACATATCTAGGTGTTACAGTGTTAGATGTTTTCTCTTGTATTATACTTCATCTTGTTGCCAAATTTATATTTTGATCTTAAATGTCCAAAACTGGTTAAAATATCAAAAGTCAACTGGATGAGAAAGTCTTTTAATTTTTTCAGGGGGTAGGGGGACTGGTTATGTGTGATATAAATATGTATGTATGTACATGTATGTCTTTGATTCTAGGGGGCTACCATCCAGTTAAGATTGGAGACCTGTTCAACCAGAGGTATCACGTGGTACGTAAGCTAGGCTGGGGACATTTCTCAACTGTTTGGCTCTGCTGGGATCTCAAGTAAGTGAAATCTTTCGGTAATAACTCCATATAAGAGTCACATATCCTCAATTAGATTTTTGTCCGCTTAAAAATGAAAAGATATACAAATGAAAAGATCAGACACAAAATCATAAAATTCAAAATTGTGACTAATTTATGCAACAGAAGAATCCTTTTAACATAATATGATTTTTATGTCACCACCACCTCTCTCCAACTTTTTTGTGGATGGTGTATCGTGATTGGTATCAGCGGGCCATGTCTGTTTCAAATGGCAGGTAGTGCTATTTTGCAAGTTAATGTCTTGTTATTCTTTTCAGAGAAAGGCGTTTCGTGGCACTAAAGGTTGTCAAAAGTGCCGAGCATTACACTGAAACTGCACTGGATGAAATAAAATTACTCAAGTGTGTACGAGATAGTGACGTGTTAGACCCTTATAGGGAGAAAACTGTGCAACTTCTAGATGACTTCAAGATCTCCGGCGTTAATGGAACCCGTATCCTTTCTGATAAAACTCCCGATTGATGCTGAATTGAAATGATGTTTTCATGATGAGACTCAATTTCCAAGCAAGCTTTATCTCTATGTGAAGTCAATGGCAGTATACAATACTTCATAAATGTAATCATTTGATTGAACGCGCTATCTGAAGTGCAACTCAATCACACAGCTTTATTTCCTGATAACAGTTTAATCATCGTAGAACATGAGGGGAATACGTAAAATAAAATTGCAACCTCACTTAAGTTTCTATCTGATTGATCTAACTGTTTGGGCCTTAAAATTACAGACTAGTCTGGAAAACCATTGATTATTGCAGTCCCAACCTATATTCACATATATGGCAAGGGAACATAAGGGCCACAAGTATATGTATTTGAAAAATACCACTGTTTGAATTTCAAATAACTAGTTTTGAATATTTCATTTGCTAAACATGTCGAGTGCATTTGATTCCTTGACCTTCTCCCTCAGATGTGTGCATGGTGTTTGAGGTACTAGGACATAACCTACTTAAGCTCATAATTCGCTCCAACTATCAAGGTGTCCCTATTGCAAATGTCAAAACTATTATAAGACAGGTGAGGTGCAGATAACATTTGTATCTTAAAGGAATTGGGTTATAATTTTTTTGTTTTGTCATGAAATGTTATGAATTTTATTTAGATTGATCCCCATCTTCTTCCCTAAAATTACAATTGAATATTTGTAATTCATGATCTTTATTGTTGCTTCCCTTTACAAATTGATATATTATATTAAATGCTTGTGGGTGAACACTGGTACATTTACATCGTCCTTAGTGTACTTAAACATGGGCTAAGATTTATAAATATATTGGTGCAAAACCTGTGCTGATGGATGAACTTTGTACTATATTTTTATCCCACCGAACGAAGTTCGAGGGGGATATAGAAAAGCCGTCCGTCCGTTCGTCCGTCCGTTAGTCCGTCCGTTAGTCCGTCCGTTCGTCCGTGTGTCCGGGGAATAACTTATGCTTATGCCTTATGGGTGTAGGACCTCTGCTCGAGAAGGAATTTTCAATATTGCTGCTAAATTCAAAATGGCGGCCATTTTCGGAAAAAATATAATCTTTGATTACTCAAATACTAGTGGATGGATTTGGTTCAAATTTTATATGCTGTTATCCAGGTACAAAGGAGCCCTGCTGAAGAAGACATTTTCAAATTGGCCACCATATTTCAAAATGGCGGCCATTTTTCGTAAAAAAACGTTATCTTTGATAACTCAAATACCATTAAATAGATTTGGATCAAATTTTATATGCTGTTGCCTTGGTACAAAGGAACCTTGCTCAAGAAGACATTTTCAAGATGGCAACCATATTTCAAAATGGCGGCCATTTTTTGTAAAAAATGTTATCTTTGATAACTGAAATACTATTGAATGGATTTTGTTCAAATTTTACATGCTGATGCCTAGGGACATAGGAGCTCTGTTCGAGAAGGGATTTTCAAGATGGCAGCTAAATTTCAAAATGGCCGCCATTTTTCGTTAAAAAAACATAATCATTGATAACTAAAATACCAGTGAATGGATTTGGTTCCAATTTTATATCCTGATGTTTAGGGAAATATGAGATCTGCTTCAGAAGAAATTTCAAAGGGGTCAGCTGAATTTCAAAATGGCTGCCATTTTTCATAAAAAAGGTAATCTTTGATAACTCAAATGCCATTGGACGGATTTACTTCAAATTTTATATACTGATGCCCATAGATAAAGGAGCTCTGCTTGAGAAGAAATTTTCAACGTGGCTGTTCGGTGGGATTTGCTACTCCGTGGAGTTGCTGTTTTTCTAGTTATCAATATTATAGATATTGCCTAGCACAAACATGTTTCCATGTATTTTTAAACAACTGATCTTGATTTAACACCATGCATGACATTGTTTATTTGCAGACGTTAGAAGGACTACACTACTTGCACACTAAGTGTAAGATCATCCATACTGATATCAAGCCTGAGAATATCCTCATCTGTGTTGATGAGAATCATGTCAGGAAGCTTGCTGCTGATGCTGTTGAGTGGCAGAAACTGGGCACAAAGATGCCAGGATCAGCAAGTATGTAGTATTATGTGTCTGTATTCCCCTATCCTCACCAAATCCCCCTAGTGTGGAGCACTTTACTATAATTTCTCACTGTGCCTCAATCCCCCACTCCCAACTCACAAATATGCTGGTATTCACAAGTATGTAGTATCATGTTTGTAGCACCCCCTGCCCTCCCTCATTCTCCCTCTTCTATCATGTTAGGAATCTTCACATCTTGTAGTGTGCAGAAATCTGGCACTGGAGCTTTCTATTTGAGGCAACTCATATTTCTGTCACTGTACAATATGAAAAATTGAATACTCCACAGTCAGAGAGTTGAACTCATTGAAATGGAGGAATACGATGTATGTTGGAATAAGCTGTAATTTAGACACTTATGATGTAATAACATGCAAGAATATACTTTTTCATAGCAATATAACCCTAGTGGCATTTTAATTGAGTTGAACGTTAACATTGCCCTCCCATATATAACATTGCATGTTGCAATCTATTCTTGCCATTCTGGCAGTCAGTTACATAATCTGTAAAAACCAATCAATTTTTCCTGTTAAATTATTCTCTTAACATTTACAAATGTCTGGGTAGGTGTCTTGCTGTGGGCGTTGTTAGCAAGTATAGATCTATATTTAGACTACCATTGCCTGGCATTGTCATGCAATAATCATTAGAAAGGGCGTTTTATTGAATAGTTTTTTGACATCTTTGGTTTTGTTTAGTTTTCTAGTTGATCAACTCAAAAGCCAAAAACTCTTCACAATACACCTACATTAGTTCTTATAAATCCAATTTCAATTCGCATTTACTCCAAGAATTCTACCAGGATTTTGCTTTTTTGCTAAAATTTTGAATAATTTTCAATGTGAACACACGTTAGATTTAATATCATAAAAGGCCTTGAACTACTCATTCAATTTTCCATCTGTAGTGAGTACAGCACCAAAGGAGAAACCTGCAGATCCTACAAAGATGTCAAAGAACAAGAAAAAGAAGCTTAAGAAGAAGCAGAAGAAACAGGCAGAGTTGCTGGAGAAGCAGCAGCAGCAATTGGAGGAATGCGAGAGAGAGGGCAGGCCGGTAAGCCCAGAGGGCGCCACTGAGGCCCATGCATGTAGTGACGCTTCCAATCTTGCATGTCATACACCCTCGGTAAGATAGTTCTGGCTTCTATGAATTCTTTCATGAGTTTCATGTATTTGGAAATACATTTTTGTTTTCTTTGAAATGAAAATGAAATTGTCAAAAATATGTTTTGAGTGTGTAAATAGTAGGGGTGGGACGGGTAACCGAAATACCGAAAAACCGCGGTTCATAGCCTTCGGATCGGTTTTCGGATCACGGCCCTACTTTCGGATCAGCTTTTCGGATCGTTTTCGGATTAATATTTCATTGGTCAAGTATCAATAAAACAGTTAAAAACACTGTTTTACAGCAACATTTTTGATATTCCTAGTCCCTACCTTGTCTGTCTTGTCTGTTGCTAGCTCACTCGTTTACTAGATTCGTTTCGTATCCGCGTACATTCGTATCCCTCGGTAATCAATCATGTGGTCCCTGGTACTATATTAACTATACTATACTATACTAAATTAGTTATTTTATTGGTTGTATTAAAAGAAAGTGACAGTCAGCAGTGAAGTCAGAGACAAAGCAGCTAATCATGTCAATCAATATAAATCCTTAAAATGAATGAACCGAACCGAAAAAAACCGAACCGACGGCTGATGATCCGAAAAACCGAACCGAACCGAACCGAAACGAACCGTCCCATCCCTAGTAAATAGTGCTCTGATTAATAATGATGTTTTTTGAAATCTTTCCATTTGACTGGTTTAATTGTCTAATGTTTAAACTAATACAATTTCTAAATAGTGCTAAAAAAAGAAATATGATAACTGAAAATGAAACTCGTGAAAAATTTACAAGAGTCATTGAAACTGTACACCAGAGGGAACTAGTGTCTTCTCAGATTCAGGGATTCTCAATTCAGTAAATGGCATCAAGGATCAAACCATTGTTATTATTAATAAACTGTGACGTTCTTTCAAATATCTATGACACTCACATGCTAATATATTACTGAAATCATACACATTCTAACATTTTATTCATGGCTGGGGAAACATATAAACTGTGTTTGATCGCAAATTTCAACATCCATTGACATTAGTAATTATTAAATGTACTAAACTGGACAATAATTTTAAAGCATTGCTGCACATAGTACATAGCATTCAGCCCTGGTATTCTGGTGTACAGTTCTAGTATTAAATATATAATTTCAATAATTTACATTGAGTTAATTGATTTACTATTTTAATATAATTTAGCATGAAAATAATTATATATTTTTTTGCTCTTCTCACTCTATGGCTAGTTCAGTTTAGCATTATTGTTTACTTGTATACTAGATAAAAACTGTTACTTCTGTCATAGACTAGATTTGGTGTGCTAGAATAGCTACTGGTGTGTTAAAAGAGATACTGGTGTGCTAGAATAGCTACTGGTGCGTTAGAATAGCTACTGGTGTGCTAGAATAGCTACTGGTGTGCTAAAATAGCTACTGGTGTGCTAGAATAGCTACTGGTGTGCTAGAATAGCTACCTGTGTGCTAGAATAACTTGGTGTTCTAGAATTGGTGTGATTTAATATTGTTGTGGATTGGGATTGGGATGATCCATTTCATTCTAACATTCTAGAACTATCATTGCTTGTGTAGTTGCATTGAATTTAAATTATTCATGTAATAAAATAATGAAAGAAGGTATAGTTGTAAAAGTATTGAATTAAACTCATAATATGTACATGTAATTACTGATATCTTCACTACCATTGAAGTCATTCCCTGTAAAATGTTATAAAGTACCTATTACTCATGTTATATTACAATTTTGAATCAAAATACATATTAGTACGTTTCATTTTTGTAATATTGGCAAAAAACCAGTATGGCTTCATAATATGGATTATATTCTGAGTGACATTGATTTTGCTTTAACAATATGTCTGACTCTGCACCTTATGTCCTTTAGTTACTACCAGCCACAAGTGAGACTAGCCTAGCTAGCCTGACAAGCATGACTGACCTTCGAGATGCCTCAGAACGTAATGGTACCATGGAGCACAATGGAATCCCCGAGGAGGCAAATGAAACTGAGGCTGAATGCAACAAAATGGCGGAAACCCCGTCGAGTAATACTGACTTACGGGTAGAAAATAATGACGGACAGAGTAATGATGGTAAACATATTATTAGGAATTATCTTTTGTATCACATGTAGTTCTTTGGAAGCACTTGTTCTGCCAACATTTTGGGAAGCAATTAATTCAAATCACTTGTCTCATTTAATTATCTTCATGTAAGTTTCCTAGCTGCTCCATTTGCATAGAATTATGTCATAAAATGAACTTACACAAATCTCTTTTTCTTAATCTCTAGATGTGTTTTGTTGATTTCATTAGTGGATAATGTTATACTAGAAAATTAACACATTTTACAATATGAATTTGTATGTTAAGAAGTATACATGTATATTGTCTTGAATTACCCTTTCAGTTGACCAAGAGCTGTCAGAAATACAAAACAACTTGGACAAACTTCCAGAGAAACTTTCTGAAAATCCTGACCTGCTCACCCCTAATATCACAGATATAGACTCGGCCCAAGAGTCTAAAGACACTGTGGAATCTACTCCTCATGGGGGTGACAGGTTACAGGATGAGTCCAACCTGGAATGTACTGTTAATAGAGACAATAATGCCGAAAGTGAAAATGCCAAAATGGATGACAACCAAAATACAAGAGATAGCCCAAATACTGAAAGATTATCAAATGGCAAAGTCAAAGTGGATGATAACGATCAAATAGCTGATCAAGAATTATTTAATAGAAATGAAAATCATGCCATTACAAACTCTGACACAGCCATGTGTAACGGGCATACTGGTGATGAATCTCCCATAGAAAACAAGGAGGATAATCTAATCAACCATGTGACACAGCAGGAGCTTAACCATGTCACCCCCAAAGAGGAGGTCCCTACTCACCTCACCCCTGAGGTGCATGAACCTTCACCAGAGGAAGATGAGTTCCATGAAGCCCCTGAGCACCAAGACCCCCAAGATGGTAATGTAGATACTGAGAATTCCAAGGCTGGTGTAGTCATAGGGGGCAAGAGTAAGAAGCGAGATAACTCTGACAGGAGTGGAGATAGCAACAGTGTAGATATGCAGTCAGTTGGAAGCAACAATTCCTCAGGAACAAGCACAAGTAAGTTTATTAGGTTAAGGTAGGCAGTGCATAAGTAAATCTCAATCTTTAAGGTGCACAGAAAAAAAATCCAGGGCATTTACAGAACTTTCGTTAAATGAGTAAGAAAAAAATGGATTTTAGGAATTCTTAATTTTTCAAACTTTCTGTAAATAAGCCCCTTATTAATTGACTTGAGTCTAGTTGCATGCAAGTTGAGTGAATCCAAAAGTTTTCCCACTGCTCACCTAAAAAAATCAAATTGAGACATGATACATCCCCTTTTGCCTGAGATTGACAATATACCAATAACCTCATTTCAAAGGGCAACATAGTGAAATCTGGGCCCAAGCACCAAAGACCAGAGGGTCGGAATTTCACTAAGTTGCCCGCTGAAATGAGCGAAATGAGGTTATTACTGTTATCACCACCTATTGGAAGGTTCACAGATCAATAGTGGTCAATAGATAGTCAAGCAATTATCTTTCAAAAAAGATGATAAAACCTTATGAACAAGGAGCAGTCTAATAAAATGCTATGTTTATCTAGGTTTAATCTATGTTTCTTATGGTATTATCATTATCATGCAAACTATTGTAGGTCGTCCTCTGATAGGCGAGAACAAGCCAGACCCCACTAAGGAGGTGTGTGAAATCAATGTGAAGATAGCTGACTTGGGAAATGCTTGCTGGACAGTATGTACTTCTATTGTTTTATCTGTACTGTTAATCTGAATCATGTGGAATTATTGTAACAAATGGTGAATGTTAATGCCTTGTGTTTTCATTATTTCAGTACCATCATTTTACTGAAGACATTCAGACACGCCAGTATCGCTCTCTAGAGGTCCTCATAGGTTCAGGTTATGGTCCGCCCGCTGATATTTGGAGTACAGCAGCCATGGTAAGTCCCCATTATGTCTCTTTGCTGTCTCTGTGCTGTCTCTGAAGGATATTGTGAATAAAATGTACATTTATCAATTTTTTTTTTTCATTTTCATGTTATATTTATTCATAGTCTATAAAAATTACAAATCTAAATGAGCTGCCAATCGCTTCTTAGCATTATAGGCTAGCTTTTACTTAATTAATTACAAAATATAGTTCCATAAAATGATTCAATATGAATTTGCGACTACACACTTTACATAATGACTAGCAGAAGGATTATGTATCCTCCATGCCTTCAATGGTTACAGCATCATTTATTTATGTACATTAAAAATATTTAGGGAAAGGATAAATTTTATAACACTTTCTTTGAGAGTTGTGTCTTCATCAATACTTAAATAGTTACCAAAAAGAAAAAATTCAAGTTTGTCTTGGTTGGTTCTGGGTAGGTGGTCTATTAGGTTCTTCTGCTCTAGGGTGGTCAATAGCTGTTGTCGTTGGAGATTATAGCGCTCACAGGAGAAAAATACATGTTTAGGTGTCTCAGGCTTACCACAAGCACAAAGATTATCATCAGTGTCAGTAAAATTGTGAGAGAATTTTTGTGATTTGAAGAAAAGGTCACATCTGATTTTATTTAGGACTGTTTCATGCTTTCTAGATAGTTTTAGTTTGCTTGTAGTATTGAAATTAGAGCCAGTGCTTAAATTTCCCCTTATTTTATTCTTAAAAGTGGAGATGGTCCTGATGGATTTTTCATCTTTCAATTTATTCCATTTTCCAATTAGTCTTAGCACAGGTGCCATACGAATTCTAGAGCTAGATTTAGTTGGTATTTTGTATTGTAAATTTGTTCTTAGTAATCTAACTGGCATTTATCAATGTACATGCCTTACGATATATTCATATTAATTTTGTATCATTATTTTAAAATTGGAAATATATAATGCTTTCTCTTTATATAGGTCATTTGCCTGCCCTCATTTTATAAAGCCAATGTACAGGAAAGTTAGAAGTAAAATTAAGACTTGCCACACGCTCCCCTTAAAAATCATTGTAATTAAACATAATCAACCTGCAAGTACTGCATTAATAGTACAATAACGTCATTTCGAAGGGCAATATTAAACAAATACTGGATGACCATGAGGTGGATATGCCAGAATACCTATCCGAGGAAAAAATACTAGGCGAGGCGAAGCCGAGCCTAGTATTTCTTTTCGAGGATAGGTATTCTGGCATATCCACCTCATGGTCATCCAGTATTTATTTTATTATGCACCTCCCTTGAGAAATACTTTATTTCAAAGAATGGGTCTACTAAAACAATAAAAACCCTGGTGTTCGACAATCAAAAATTCCATTTATTCTCTCATTTGGCCTTATTCTTAGTATTCCCTCCATATATAATAAGTTTGGTCAATGCCTTATCTAGCGGCACCTACCTTTTGTCAGTTAATCACAGGAAATTGAATAGAAATCCCCTTAATCTCATATCATCAAATAATTTATCCCTCGCATTCGTCTCAAATTCAACATGGAAGAGATTCTAAGAAAATGACGTCATCGACAAATGGACTCATCGAAAGTATTTTTTTCGAGGATAGGTATTCTGGCATACGGGATGGTTGGAGATCTCGTTGCTTCAATACTGGATAGAACGAGATCTTGCTGCCACGTATGGCAATAGACCCTGCAGCTCTTAACCAATCAGATTTGAGTATTTTAATGAGGTGCATAATAAAGAGAAATATTGGACCGAGGCAAGGTGGTAATAATAATTGTCTGTGCCCTACAATATTGTGGAGCTGAAATGTATTGATAGCACACTCACAATCAGCTCATTTGAATGTAACAGTTTATAGATAGTAACTTATATGTATATTGCTTTTATTTTTAGGCATTTGAGCTTGCTACCGGAGAATATCTATTTGAGCCTCACTCCAGTGAAGATTACACTCGGGACGAGGACCATCTGGCACACTTCATCGAACTTCTAGGACCCATACCCAAACACATAGCTCTCAGTGGCAAATATTCTAGAGAATTCTTTAACAAAAGAGGTAGGTCGCATGGTAGATCAAATATGGTGCTTCTGTAGATGAGAATGGGGAAGATAACTTGTGATATGATGGGTACCAGCCACCTTGATATAGTAACTTCATAGAAATTGAATAAACTCTACTTTATTATGTTACCACCATAAGTGGTGACATATTTGTGGATGGTGTTCGGCATTGGCCAGTCGGTGTCTGTAATGAATGACAAGTGTAGACATTTTGCATGTTAATGCCTTGTACATAACTTGTATAATCAACCATTGATCTACATATACTATATAAAGCACCTATTATCTGTAATATTGCAGTTCCTGATTATTCTTTCTGTACTTGCAGGGGAACTGAGGCACATACACAAGCTGAAGCCATGGAATCTATTTGATGTTCTAGTAGAGAAATATGAATGGGAGCCTGAAAAAGCTATCATGTTCCAGAGTTTTCTCGAGCCAATGATGGATTACGATATAAACAGACGAGCCACGGCTGAGGAATGTCTTCGTCATCCATGGCTCAATTCATAATGTCACGCCTGTCACATTCTGGTCACACCTGTCACATCCAGGTCATTCTTGTGACATCATTTGTCACACCTGTGACTCCATTCATCATGCTGGTGACTGCATATATGTCACACTTGGCTCAACTTATAGTGTCACACTTGTGTTTTGGGAGCTCTATATGTTTGTATGTGGAACTTAGGTCTACTGATACTCTCTGGACACACAGGTGAATTAATACTTATTAACCTGCATGCAGACTGGAGGAACTACTCTTATGAAGAATTCTATATGTTCATCGATATTAAAGGAAGATTAAGAGTTTGAAATTTGAATATTCAGCTAGTGATCTGCTTCCAAGACAATAACTTGCAGCATTTCAAGGATTATTTAGAAGATTTCTTGAAAGGATGTTAGATGTAATAAGCTAATAATAAAACTGTAGCATGGTATCACATGAATTAGAAATAATGCATGTGTAAAAATTCATGTATATGATCTGTATGATATAAAGTGAAGTGAGCGTTGATTCTTAGCTTTTGGATAAAGAATTAATAATATTGGAACATAGCATGACATGTTTTGTTTTATCATCTCTTATCATACTCTTCATCATATTCATACTTTTTCATTAACCTGCAAATGTCAGAATTTGTTGGGAAATCACAATTGTAAAGGCTGGCAATAGGCACCCTGTAACAATATAACATTGTTTTGCAAAACACAATGCTATGCCAAAATCCCAGTCACATCAAGATGAATAGATTTTGCTGAATTGCTTTATTGGACAAAATATATTAATACTAAATATAATCCTTATATCCCCATTGGGGTGGAAAATATCAGCCCTTAGCGCAGGATTTCAAATCTTTCGATTTTTAGCATCTTTTGAAATTGACATTATGTCTTCTTTTAATTCTGTGATTACGGCATCTCTTCAATCTCTTGATACTTTGATTGTGATTATGGTCTCAATCAATATTGTGATCATGGCATCTTTTGGCACTATGATTATGGCATCTCTTGAAATTGTAATTATGGCATGGCATTGCTTTGATAATGGCATCTATTCATTGAGGCAGGGTATAGTTTATGTAGTATACCATTCATTATGTCCATATTTTGTAGTATACCACATTCATAGTGATCATATCTAGTATACCATTCATTATGTCCATATTTTGTAGTATACCACATTCATTATGTCAAGGTTATACACATTCATTTTGTCCATAGTGTATTATGTAGAATACCACCTCATATATATTTATATATGGTCCACACTTCATTAAATGAATATCATTATACAGTAAGAGCATGGGTATCATCTTCATAAGAATCATCATTATCAATCTAACATTATCTCATTAACACAGCTAAATACTGTTAAGCTGCAGAATAAATACCTCTCAGTTATCAACTTATTTATAATAAACAGCCTCTCAAAATATACAGTCATATGATGAGGAATAACCAGGATTTCAGTTATATTTAATATGCAGGTTTAAGGCTAGGGTAAATAGGTTGTGTTGAGCTTCTCCTTAAAAATTTCATGGTATAGAAACAGAATAATCAATATATTTTGCTTTTCCATGTGTCATTTATTTTGTAGAAATAGTTTCTTTATTCAATATAACTAACTTAACTTTTGAGATAAGAAACCTCATTGAGCCATTTATCCTTCAAACTCTAAGCAAGAATTTAATTACCCTGGCCTGCTGGTGTAGAAACAGTTGTGTATTTCTTGTATTTGTAAGAACCTAATACAATTGTGTACATGTAATCAAATCATGGAATGCTATAAAGGCATTGCCCATTAGAATAAAATTTCATTCTTTTAATAATTACTAAGTATATTGTTGATTTTGTATTTATAGATTTGATTATTTCTTACATTGAATAGAATACAAAGATAAACTATCACTTATCACTTATTTAAACAGCCAACATTTTAGTCATAGTGCCTTCTAAGCAGAATTTCAACAACTAGGGACTTACTCTTTTTTGAACTGATTACCCCCTCCCCCGGTGATGTATATGTTCTTTTATGCATTTCTCGGCCGGATTCTTCAATACACCTTTTGTGATCGCTGGGATTTTAATACTGCTATATCTGATCAGCTGTAAACAATTTGTCTTTTCCTTCCACATTGGTAACATTATCGTATAAACCTTCATGTCAAATGTTAATCTCCTAGCTTATGCATACTATCAAATCTATCAAATACTGTTATTACTGTACTTCTAAAAGCAAGAGATGTCAACCCTCATCCAGATCCGAACAATTTGTCAATTTTGTCCCATTTTTATTACACACTCTGTATATGACTGTATACAATAAAACATGATAAATAAATTTCTGTGAAAATTCATCTCTGGTAAATATCATGATAAATAAAAAAGCATATTATACTTTCTAATGACAATTTGGTTAGTGAGCGGCCATTTTGAAAAAGGCAGTTATTTTTACCATGTGCAATTTCATGTTTTTTTGCTACAACTGAAAGAGCAATGGAGCGAATTTGTTCAAAGATCTTTCCTTTAAATACTTAAAAGCATATTAATTGCACCTTTTAAGAAACTCTGGTTATTCAAAAAGTGGTGAAGCGATTTTGTTAATTTTTTATGTGAATATTCTTGGGAGAGCGCCCATATGGCCATTGTTTGATTTTAAGTTTCAATTTAACTTCAAAATAGAAAGATTTTTTTTCTGTTTAGCACATATGGAACTTGTAGTTATTCGTTGGAAATGTGAACGTAAAGTAATACTCATAAAATGTACTATTAAAAAATACTAACTTAGTTCGATGATGGCATGATAATCTTTACGTGTTGAGATTATACAAAATTGAAAAATTAATAACTCGAGGTTTAACATTAGCAAAAGTTGTACAATTAATTTACAACTTCTTTGATATTTCTCAAAGAATGTTAAAATGGCTACAAGGCAAGCGCCTCGTCTGTCTCATCCTACGCTAGAGCTATATAGTTATTTCTGGAATAAATAGACTTTCTGAATATAAGCATAACAAAGAATAAAACATCTGAAAACTCCAAAGACAACGGTTTTTAAAACACTGTGAGTGAGGCGGTACTTGCCCACAAAAACATTCACACTGCTGTCTTAAGTTTGATTCCTAAAAGCTGAATATATTGTAGTCTTTCTCTGTATGTAGTCTATACAGCTACATAGTGTATGTCAAAAGCGTGCTATAACTTGTGTTTGAGGGGTCACGCCTGGCACATACATCAACTCTATTCTCCACTCCCCAGTGCCAATTCATGGTCACCTGGCCCTCCCATACATTAGGTTGCTTCTGGTCCAGTTGAGTCCAGTGGTCCGTACCAACCACAACAGCGACAGCGCTCACATTGGGGACCTCAATCTTGAAGAATATGAACTGCTGGCTATTGGTGGATCCACGCGTTGGCTTGCTAGGATCCAGATGGCCGTGAGTAGGTTCAAACAGGTAGCACTCCTTCCAATGGCCGTACTGCTTAGGATAAGCGACCAGTGAAGCATGTGCTTGGGAACAATCGATCAGGTAGTTATAAACCCCTGGGAGGGTCTCACTGGGTTCGGTGTTTGGCAGGGCATACATCTGAAGCTTGTAGCTCCCAGCTTTGGGTAGTTTCACAACAAAAGAGATGATATTGTCCTCATATTGTTGCAAAATAAAATCCGTGAAATCTTCATCATTGGTAGTGTGGATTAGCTCCGAAGTGACCCTTAGTGGCCGCGTAGTTTTCATCTGAATTATAACTTCCCCAACTGCGTCTTTGATGTAGGGATCGTGGTGGCTATAGGTTGTTAGAACTAACTCTTCTCCACTTGACGGTTTCCCTAAATATCCAAGTGACATCTTTGGGAAGGGGACGGCTTTAACTATTGGCTGATTGCATTCCAAAAGGTACCTCCATACGAGGTAATGAGACGTACCATCAGTAGCCGAGTCGCTGGCAAATATTTCCAAGGCATATTCTCCCTGATGTGGTAGATTTACTGAGAAGACTGCGAAGTTGTTCACAACACGAGTCATCACATATTGCTGAAGAGACGTTTCATCCATGGCGTTAGATTTCAACTTAGCCATAAAATGCAACTCTTTGACCTTGGGCATTTTGAACTTGATTTCAGTATGTCCATTGGGTAACGAGATACAAGCCCCCTTGGATGGAGCCTTAATTTTGTATCGTTTCGCCTCAACGCTGGGTCCAAATATGGTTTCTTCACCGGGATATGGCTGTATGCTACTGGTATCGCGATCACATACTATCTGATACTCACATACAGCACCATATGATTTTTCTACTTTAGTATGGGATTTGATTTTCTTAGCGTATATAGTAAACTTGTAAGAGCCTTTCTCTGGCGTTCTCACCCTAAAGATGCTGAGGTTATCAATTCTCTCATGCATACCATATTGAGTTAACTTTCTGCCTTTGTACTCCTCTCGATCGTCTTCAAAAGTCAGTCCAAAAACGAAACCAATTTTGTTGGCTTTTGTAGGACAGGCCAATGTGATTTCTACCTCACCTGTGCTCCATATAACAGCCTCTTTGTGACTGTTCAGCTGTAGATCGAGTTTAAAGAAGGTGGACTTCACTACGGGTAGATTTTCAAATTCGTCTTGCAGCAAGGGACACTCTAAAAGCTGCCAGTCATTTTCTTTAGGGAAGTGGGTGAAGATGAACTGCTTAGGATCGGGTAAGAAATAGAACTCGTCCAACTCATACTTTAAATTGTCCAATGTCTCCTGAAAATATCATAATACTTTGAAGTAAGTACCTTTCATCAGTACATGAATATCTCAGCAACATGTGGTAAAGATGAATTGTTCAGAGAATGATTTGTCTTAATTAGGTTGAATTGCCCAGGAAACGGGTTGTCCAGTGTAACGAGGTAGGTACCACTAGAACCGCTCTCGAATGAACGACCGATTTTTCTCAAGCAATGAAATAGCACATTGATGGCAATGTAACAGTGGAAAACTTCGCCCGTGTCAAACCAAGTAATGAAAACTATCGTCACAACTGTATAAGACATATCACCATACGTTATCGGACAGCTGATGTGATCTTTTCAGATTCATATTGATTTTCACAAATCTGATTTACATTGTACGAGTTATTTCCATTTGGTTTTTCATTTCATATGGAAACAACAAAGGTTTCAACTAGTTTGAAATAGCTTTTCCTTTGTTCGACCTTCGCAATGGTGTAAAAAAGATAATGTCTTTTGTACTGTTTATAGAAATATTTGATGATTAAAATATTTCAACTTTTATTTGAAAAACGGCGAGTTTGAATATTTAAAAAATAAAAAGCTGAAAACTTTTTCCCTCAATTTCTTTTCAAACTTAACTCGGGGCCTTTAACAATTGAATGCGCGACTAACAAAATGGTTGAACGAAGAATTAAACATGAGCGCTATCATTGGAGTAGTTCTGGTGGCGATGTCGCGTCATAGCTCAGGGTATGAGTTGTCTAGGGGGTTGATTTGCCAAGTGATACGTTTACTCGTGGTCGAGTAGTTCTGATAAATCAAATACTTGTTAACGGATTGGGTTCAAATTTTATTGCTGATGTCTTATGGGGATAGGAACTCTGCTTGGGAAGGAATTTTCAGCATGGCTGCTAAATGGAGTATTTTCGTAATCTTTGGTTACTCAATTGGAACGTACAATTAGTTCCCCTGATTTACCTGTCTTCCATGAACCTTCCTCGCAGCCCAGTTACAATCAGCCAGATACCACTGGCCATCAATAAAGACAGCATTCCATGTGTGATTCTCACTTTCGTCAGTAAAAGTCATCCCAGGCTCAAAACCAACCCCCTTGGCAAGCCCACTCAGTGTTTTACAATGGATACCTGCGTAACTGAAATTAAGACATTAACAGTGCATGGTTTGCAAATGGACAATCCATTCCACAATCCATCAACACTTTGGGGTGAATGTAGAAGGAGACATTTTTGAAAAATGCTCTACCCGCCCATCTTAGTTATCAGCATAGATGGCAGCATAAGTGTTAATAGGGCTAGTAACCTAGTGAAAAATCTACTATCACATTGAACAGCATTGGTAGTAGACAAGTTAATTCGTCTCAATGTTGCGATTCAATGTTACATTTTGAGGATTTGGATTCATATAATTGTTCAATTATTTTTGTAATTATACACTTGAAGTAGCAGGGAACACTTTCCTTGCCTGTAATACTTGTATATTTAAGCTTCAACTATGAAATAGTAAATCTTACCTTGGGGAAGTTAAACGTTTGATAATTTAACAAATGAAAATACTTTCCTTGAATTTAAATTTTTTCAAATAGGGCGCTACAAGAAATGTAACTGTAACCGATTATCAATCGCCATAATGTAAAATAATTGAATTAAATATGTGATATAAAGCATCCAATACTTACCTACACAAGGTTTTAAAGATAACAGAATACGTGACGTTGCCCCTCTTTAGTCCAAGCAAAACCTCCTCAGGAGAGTCAGGTTGTACATTTTTGAACTCCATATTTTTCAAATCCTTTGTACATAGCCACAAAAATATAGCCCTGAAAAGCATTATAACATACTTGTATAACAAGCACCAAATTCTTATATTTCGAAAATGTGGGGTATGACTTGCAATTTGCTCGTTCTTAACCAATTAACAAAAAATACAACCATAAACAAGATACTGGTTTATCTAAAAATCTTATTCTCGAGGGGAGGGCTGGTGTTGTGATTAATTACAATAATAATTATTTATCGACCGTCTTATTTGATTTACTCATATACATACTCATACAGGACATATATTTCCCCATCCGACCCTTTATGATGAAATACTATCCATAACCTGCATTACCACAAAAACAAAAACGAATCCTTATACGATCCAGTATATATACTCCTCAAAAAAAGTTAGGGACCAGTCTTTTTCTTCATAGGTTTACATGTTAAACCCCATGTCTGTTTGAATTCTCATTTTCAAATCCTGGAACGAATGAAAAACTAAATGTAAATGGATATGTACCTTGACTCTATTCTCTATATTTCAGAAAAGTTTCAATTCAATATCTCCGTTACAATAAGTCAAAAATTGATGTCAAATTTGAGGAAAATTAAAAAAATGGCATAACCCATGTAATCCAATGGGAAATGGTTGGGTTGCCAAAAGTCATATGAGAAAATACCCATCAATTCAATTGCTCTCAAAAATGGAATGTAAATAGACAATTGAATTTGCTAACTTGTCTACAACAATAAATTGATTTGTTTCTCCAGGTTTTACAAGGTTATGAGTCTCAAAAGTCAAAATCATTTCTCATAAAACCTCTCATTGAAATAACACAGGGGGTCAAAAAGAGTTGTCAAAAATACGATGCTCTACATCGGTAATTCTCACAAAGTAAGCTTAACAAATTAAAAATCAAAAAGCATGCACAAAGTAAAAAATTCAATTGTCTACTCAGAAATTATTTTTGATTAATGTTTTACCGAATACATATCCAAAAATCTGATTTGCCCCTAACCCACCATTCCCCATTTTGGGATATGCCATTTTTGTTAAATTTCGTGAAATTCATAAATGTTGACATCTTATTTTTACCCAATGTAATGGAGATATAACATTGAATTTTGCAGACTTAATAGAGAAGAGAATCATGATACAGATTTATTTACTTTATCGGGTTTTCTTTTGTTCCACTCTTAGAAAATAGTCGTCCAAACAAATATGGGGGTTAACATGTAAACCTATGAGGAAAACCACTGGTCCTTAACTTTTTTTGAGGGGTATAGATTGGGCCCACGAGAGAGTTGAGGAGAGGGGCGTTCAAGTTTTTTTTCTATTATGCTCTTGAATTACTCTTGAAATAGCATGGGCTCCACCACCTCTGATAGAGCCCATGGTAATAAAACGTTCTTACCTGACTTTGTCTAACTCGTTTGTAATGTTGCTGGCATGGATGAGATTGAAGATGAGGTCATTGAAACTATCATATTCTTTTTGTGCCACCTAAAAATCCAACTCAATACGATTACTCGATCGCTCATATTCATCCATTTATTCTAATTTATCAGAGTCTAGATCTCGCTTTATTTAAAGCTTGTGGAATTCGGTCGAAATTCTAAGTGATAATAGTCGGAGACTGTGAATCTGTGACCCCCACTACTTGACTTCACAACTTTTCAAACAGGGGTAAGGCGTAGGTGTGTAGTGGGGGGCTTTAAGGTCTATCTTTCTATTTACCAATTCGTTCAGATTGACCTTAGTGCATAATATATGCATCCTCGTACTCACCTCATACGCCTGCTCATCAACTTCATCAAAGACTTTCAAGTTCTCACCACGGTTTACATTTATTTGAGATGTAGTGTTGGGCTTGGGGGGTGGTTCGTTCAGTTGTTCGTTGATAGGAATAGCCTGGAACTCCGGCGGAGCCTGCATTCCCTGTATGCGCTCTTTTTTCTTTACAGCATAATAATGGAATAATAACATCAATTAGAAAGACACAACATTCCAATAATGGAACATCAATTAGAAAGATACATCACACGACAACATAATAATGGAATAATGACATCAATTAGAAAGACACAACATCACATGACAACATAATAATGGAATAACAACATCAATTAGAAAGACACAACATCACGTGATAACATAATAATGGATAATGCCATCAATTAGAAAGACACAATATCACATAACATCATCTGACAACATAATAATGGAATAATAACATCAATTAGAAAGACACAACGTCACGTGACAACATAATAATGGAATAATGACATCAATTAGAAAGACAAAACATCACGTGACAACATAATAATGGAATAATAATAAATTCAATTAGAAAGACATAACATCACCTGAAAACATAATAATGAAATAATAACATCAATTAGAAAGATCCAACATCACACGACAACATAATAATGGAATAATAACATCGATTAGAAAGACACAACATCAAGTGACAAAATAATAAGATAATATAGAATACTTTACTTTGATAGCCATTTTTTATTATTTATTTATTTCATGATAATATAACAATGGAATGTACAAAGTATATTTGTCAAATTTTGTAATTAACAATTAATAAAGATACTTGCTTACCTCAAGGACGGGCTCGTCATCTTCTTGGACGCATGCAACTCTAACATATGGTTTTCGTTTTGGCGCAGGTTTGTTCAATGATGTATTCTGCTTTTCGCGCATAGAAAACTTTTGGAAATCTACTAGAGCCTGATCTATCTGTTTACGCTCACTAATGTTGACCTACAACATAATGAAGCACTCAATCAAAACTAGTAGACATTATAATGTCATATTTCAATGTGAACCGCACAAAACTTCGCCAAACATTGGAAAAATAATGTAGTAGAGTCTCAAATGATCGGAACAAAGTTCAAAGGATTGGTATCGATTTGGTGAACTGAATTCAACAATGTTTTCCCCTTAAACCAATTATTGAACACATTTTGTAAAAAAGACGGTCCTTTATGTAATGTTGACTGGTTGACAACAATTTAATGCTAAAATTATTTATACATATATTTTATAAAACCGTTTTTATTAACATTTTTCGTATTTAGTGCATTTGTTTTTTGTTCCTTTCTACCAATTCTTGAGAATGAAATAAAATATCTTTCCGAACCTTGTTGGAACAAAATAGCATATACAACATTTTCTTGGACCTCTCAATATTGTAGTTATACAAAGGAAAAATTAAAAAATAGATAAAAATCAAGATTAACGTTTTATTTCATTAACAAGAACGGGAATATTTGACCATATTTTTTGACCCCAGGGTGAGGAAATTGACACATTTATCTGGCCCCGGAGTAACAAATTAGACAGGCCAATAAAATTCCCCATCCAATCCCGCGTGGGGATCTCACGCAAACTTTTAAATGGTGCAAAGTATATAAAATGTTCTAAGGGTTGACCTTGAATCAGCTTAAAACGATTCGTTTTGGTAACAAAATGTCGGAACGTCGAAGGTACGATTTTTCTTTTTTCCTTATTTCACGCGTGTAGGCAGAATCCCAACGACGTTTTTTCTCACAAACGTGTATCAGCATCATATTTTTTAGAAAATGTACATATTTGCGAAAAAATAGCTCAGAAGACAACAGAATCGTCGATTTAATTCCTCACTTAAGTTACATAAACGGTTTGGGTTAAAAGTGCAGATCTTAACTGTTTTTCGAAAAACCGTTTATGTAACTTAAGTGAGGAATTAAATCAACGATTCTGTTGTCTCCTGAACTATTTGTTCGCAAATATGTACATTTTCTTAAACATATGATACTGATACACGTTTGTGTTAAAAATGACGTGGGAATTCTGCCTACAACGTGTGAAATAAGGAAAAAAGAAAAATCGAACCTTCGATGTTCCAACATTTTGTTACCAAAATGAGTCGTTTTGGTAACCAGCGTAATCGAGTGGATCACCAGTGTCAAAGCATACCTTGGTAACTCCATGAGTTTCAGAAAGTTTTGGCAACGGAGGTCCATCTGTCCGTTGTTTCTCGTTGCCATTGGTGCTTATTACAATTTTACCTGTAATTGTATTCATTGACCTCGTATTCTCCTCACGATCGCTCTTAGAATCACAAGAACTCTGTAAAAACAGAACTAAACCGATGTAACCCATACCATCTTACAGAAAAACAGAAACATATTGCATGATACATAACTTAAAGCGATATGGCAGTAGCATCTCAAAATATGAAGAATGTGTCTTGATCTAGAACTCCTAGACTCCAGCCTTGTAGTTATGGTACCTGGAATTAAAATGAAATTCCTAGGAATTCAACAACGGTTGAATAGATGTAGATTATAGATGTAGATTTTCATACCACAAAGGTTTCAATCATTCGATCCCTATAACCCGTTGCCCCAAAATAATGTATCCCAAGCTGGCCAGTTCACCAGGCCAGCTCTGCTAAAACTTGATATGGCGTTCTTACCTCTAGTTAAAGTGTATTAATTTTTATAACGCTGAACAGAGCAATTATTGTCATATACAGTATCTGAAGCTTTGTTTCTGTATACCTTTAAGTTTGACACCGTTATTGAAGGTTCTTTCGTCTGCTTTCTTTGTATGGAAAAATCCTCGATTCCCGTTGGAGCCTGTGGTCCTTTGATATGTTGATTGTGTACGACCTACAATATATGTGTAACCAGTTATGACAAATGGATGTTTAGATAATGCTTTTTCTCGATCTTTAATAAGAATGATGAAATATATTAATATGATATGTATACGTCCATACAAAGTAGAGAGCATGACTTCAAAAACAATTAGGTAATGTAATTCTGTTTGAAATCTATGCAAACTAAAAAAGATATCACTCAATAAAAGCAGATGTATTGTCTTTATTTGATCTCTAGATAAACATATTCTTGTAAATGCTCAAAAAATTAAAATATTCAAAATCCATGATGTTCTAAGGGCTGTCCTTGAATCAGCTCATTGTGTCTTGCCACTTGGAAGGATGGGATGTCATTAAAATAGTATCCTTACCGCCATTCTTGATTTGACAAAAAATATAAAATATGCTGTTTGAAAGATACTTTTGTTTTAATACTTTTTGATACTTTTTGTTTTGATATTTTCGAACATATTTCAGTTATATGATTTATAGGGTCTCTCAGTTCTTGAAGGGTTTCGAAACTGTCATGATATATCTACAGATTTAACATCGAATAAATCAGATTAGCTTGAAATTTTCACAATTAATAGATTTTATTGAAATGATTGCTTATAGTTTCATGAAGTAAATGCCAATTGGAAATAAAATCCCTACCAGCATAACTTTAAGATGTGATGCATGAACCTCAAAATGAGGCCTCTGGCGTTTTATAAGTAATTCGAAGCATGTAAACATTTGATGAAACATGTTGAGGGTTTCTTCCATTACCTGGAAATATTTTAAAGCGTACCTTGTCATTACCTCCGTGACTTTCGGAAAGTTTCAGAGACAAATCTTCATTTGTTAGTTGTTTCTCGTTGTCATTGGTGTTTATAACGATTTTACCTGTATCAGTATTCATTGACCTCGTATTTTCCTCACGATCACTCCTAGAATCACCAGAGCTCTGTAAAAACAGAGTTTAACCCATGTAACCAATACGATTTTACAGAAAAACAGAAACATATTGCACAATAAATACCTAAAAGCTAAACAAACTTTTCAAAAAGGCCTTAGCTAAGCTTAAATGTCCTGTTTAAGAACCCCTGTTCTAGCTATGTTCTGTTTAAGAACCCCTGTTCTAGCTATTGAAATTGGATTCTGCAATAATAGACTCGATCAACTTAAGTTCTTCTGAGAATATTAGAATTTTGGATCTATTCCCATTTTAGGAAGCGTGTAAACCTTTGATTAGACTTGCAAAGAGTTTCCTCGTTTACAAGAAAATAATTTAAACCAAACCGTGTTAGTAACTCCGTGACTTTCAGAGAGTTTTTGCAATAAAGGTAAATCTGTTTGTTGTTTCTCGTTGCCATTGGTGTTAATTACAGTTTTACTTGTGACAGTATTCACTGACTTTGTATGCTCTTCACGACCACTCTTAAAATCACCAGAACTCTGTAAAAACAGAATTTAACCCAAATCACTCACACAATCTTACAGAAAAACAGAAACATATTGCAAAATTAATATCTAAAAGCATTTAGGCATAAGCATTTCAAAATCCGAAAAATATGTCTTGATACGGAACCCCTACCACCCACACTTGCAGTTTCGGTACCTAGAATGAAAATGGAATTCCAAGGAATTTAACAACGACATTTTTTGCAAAACCACAGTTGTGACGAAGTTATATTCAATATGAGCTTTGATAGTCATCCGAAATGGAATAAAGAGGTACAGTTAATCTCTAGAGATAGTCAGCGTTCAGGTCGAATAAATGTGTAAAATGTGATTCAGTGTAGAACAAATCGGAAGTCTCAAATCCGATCTAGATTTCTATACCACAAATGTTTCAATTATTCGACCCTTGTAACTGTTTGGCCGAAAATATATTATCCCAAGCTTGCCAGTTAACCATATCCTGCTATGCCAAAAGTCAACATGGCATAACTTCAAAAACTATTAGGTAATGTAATTTTTTGTTAAATCTATGCAAACTAAAGTAGATATCATTCAATAATAGCATGAGTATTGTCTTTATTTGATCTATAGATAAACATATTCTTGTAAATGCTCAAAAATTTAAAATATTTAAATCCATGATGTTCTAAGGGCTGTCCTTGAATCAGCGCATTGTGTCTTGCCACTTGGAAGGATGGGATGTCATTAAAATAGTATCCATACCGCAATCCTTAATTTGACAAAAATATAAAATATGCTGTTTGAAAGATATCTTTCGTTTCAATTACATAGAATTGATAACACCTAGAAACCTCTAAAAGTTTGGCAACCCTAACTGCGAGATTGGTTAAGCATACTTTTGTTTTGATATTTTTGTTTTGTTTTGATATTTTCGAACATATTTCATGATTTATTGGGTCTCTCAGTTCTTGAAGGGTTTCAAAATTGTCATAATATATCTATTAATTTAACATCGAACAATTCAGACTAGCTTGACATTTTCACAATTAATCAATTTTATTGAAATGATTGCTTATAGTTTCATGAAGTAAATGCCAATTGGAAATAAAATCCCTACCAGCGTAACTTTAAGATGTGATGCATCAACCTCAAAATAAGGCCTCTGGCGTTTTATAAGTAATTCGAAGCATGTAAACATTTGATGAAACATGTTGAGGGTTTCTTCCATTACCTGGATATATTTAAATATTTAATATTTTAAAGCGTACCTTGTCATTAACTCCGTGACTTTCGGAAAGTTTCAGTGACAAATCTTCATTTGTTAGTTGTTTCTCGTTGTCATTTGTGTTTATCACGATTTTACCTGTAGCAGTATTCATTGACCTCGTATTTTCCTCACTCCTAGAATTACTCGAGCTCTGTAAAAACAGAGTTTAACCCATGTCACCAATACGATTTTACAGAAAAACAGAAACATATTGCACAATAAATATCTAAAAGCTAAACAAACTTCTCAAAAAGGCCTTAGCTAAGTTTAAATGTCCTGTTTAAGAACCCCTGTTCTAGCTATTGAAAATGGATTCTGCAACAAGAGACACGATCAATTTAAGTTCTTCTGACTATATTCGAATTTTGGATCTATTCCCATTTCAGGAAGCGTAGTAACTCCATGACTTTCAGAGAGTTTTTGCAATAAAGGTAAATCTGTTTGTTGTTTCTCGTTGCATTGGTGTTTATTACGATTTTACTTGTAACAGTATTCACTGGCTTTGTATTTTATTTATTTATTTTTTATTTATTTATTTATTTATTAATTATCCTCATTCATTACATTACATTTACAAAATCTTCAATCGCCAAATACATGCATGGCATTATAGAAGAATTGATGAAACTTTTGAATATAATATAAGGAGCAATGTTAACAGTAGTTTTGGGGTTGTGGTGGGGGGGGGGGTGCTTGGCGTGGGAAACAGTCAATAGAGATAAAAGATGTTTCAGGAGGGAAAAATCATAGATTGGCTTTTATAAAGGAAGCTAGCCTGGTCATCATTTTCGAATTTAGTTCGATAGAGATTTCAGTTGAGCCATATTTTCAGAACTTCAAGATATTTATGCTGAGAGATTTGCCTGTCAAAAATTTCAGGGATCAAGTTTTTCAGGTATTGATTAAATTCATCCCTAGCATGTGTCAAATGAGCACAGTGGAAAAAGAAGTGTTTAACTGTTTGTGGATGTCCACATGTACAATTTGGGTTATCAATATTGCTAAAGTTATGAGCATATAGTTGGGCCTTAAATAAAAAGTCGGCCCTGAATTTATTTACTATTATCTCATGGCTCCTTGTGAGGTTCAGTTTGCTGGTTGTAATGACATTTATTGGATTTTTGAAAAGCAGTTTTTGATGTTTCTTAAAATTCTGGATAGTAGATTTACTCTTTAATGTATTTGGCAGGGCTAACCAGTTGGAGATTGCAGAGGGTACCGCTGAATTTCTGTACCGTTCAGAGCATTTTGGTACAATGAACTCATCAGTGTTACGCAAGTTTCGAGTTTCTGGTTTTTTGAACCTATCAAATATGTCATCAAGAAATTTAGGGTTAGGACCATGTACTATTTTGTACATAAAGTTATTTATAAACATTTTTCTTCTAGTGTCAAGAGATGGCCATTGAAGTAGCGTTAGTACTTTATCTGTGCTGCTCCCGTGAATACAACCTGAGCAGTAGATAGCGGCTTTATAATATAATCTATCGAGCCTTTGAAGTAGATATTTGGAAGAACTATTGTAAATGATGGTACCATAATCAAAATGGGGCAATATGAAGGAGTTTAAGATTGTCTCAAAATGACTAGATCCTATTTTGTTTTTTAGTTTTTTAAATGGATTCAACATTTTTGTTACGTTATCATAGATGTTACTTATATGGTGCTTGTGTGTTAAGCAGGGATCAAACGTGAAACCGAGGTGTTTATGGGAATCAGCTCTAACTATTTCCATACTATTAAGATTAGATGGACTGATATCATTAATACAGTTATCAGTTCATGACTTTTTTCTGGTTTAAACTGTAGTTTCCAAGTAGTTGACCATTGTTCAATGCTTTCTACGCTTGACTTAACAGAATCATCAACATTAGTAGGGTCTTTTGGATCAATTTTAAAATGCAAAGAGGTATCATCAGCATAGATGTAGCACTGGCCACCCAGGTTGTCAGGAATATCATTAATGTACAGGATAAATAGAATAGGCCCTAGAATAGACCCTTGTGAAACACCATAGTTAATAAAGTTAGGATCAGAAAGTTTTGAAGATTCGCCACCTACATTAACAAAGAATGTTCTGTCATTCAGATAGGATTTGAGGACATTGAGAAGTTGACTGACTTTGTATGATCTTCACGATCACTCTTAGAATCACCAGAACTCTGTAAAACAGATCTTGACCCATGCCACTCAAACGATCTTACAAAAAACAGAAACATATCGCACAATCAATATTCCAAAAGCATTAAGGCATTTGCATCTCAAAATCTGAAGAATATGTCTTGATACGGAACTCCTACTACCCAGACTTGTAGTTTCGGTACCTAGAATTAAAATGGAATTCCAAGGAATTTAACAACGGCATATTTTGCAAAACCACAGTGTGGACGAAGTTATATTCAATATGAGCTGTGATGGTCATTCGAGATGAAATAAAGAGATACAGTAAATCTCCAGATCGAGATAGTCAGCGTTCAGGTTGAATAATTGTGTAAAATGTAATTCAGTGTAGAAGTCTCAAATCCGTTCTATACCACAAAATGTCATAATATATCTATCAATTCAACATCGAACAAATCCGATTAGCTTGAAATTTTCACAATTAGTGCTAAGATTTTATTGAATGATTGCTTATATTTTCATGAAGTAAATGCCAAAGAAAAATAAAATCCCTACGAGTGAAACTTTAAGATGTGATGCATCAACCTCAAAATGAGGCCTCTGGCGTTTTATAAGTAATTCGAAGCATGTTAACATTTGATGAAACATGTTGAGGGTTTCTTCCATTACCTGGAAATATTTCAAAGCGTACCTTGTCAATAACTCCGTGACTTTTGGAAAGTTTCAGAGACAAATCTTCATTTGTTAGTTGTTTCTCGTTGTCATTGGTGTTTATAACGATTGTACCTGTAGCAGTATTCATTGACCTCGTATTTTCCTCACGATCACTCCTAGAATCACCAGAGCTCTGTAAAAACAGAGTTTAACCCATGTCACCAATACGAATTTACAGAAAAACAGAAACATATTGCACAATAAATATCTAAAAGCTAAACAAACTTCTCAAAAAGGCCTTAGCTAAGCTTAAATGTCCTGTTAAAGAACCCTTGATCTAGCTATTGAAAATGGATTCTCCAACAAGAGACTCGATCAACTTAAGTTCTTCTGAGAATAGGATCTACTCCAATTCCAGGAAGCGTGTAAACTTTTGATTAGACTTGCTAAGAGTTTCTTCATTTACAAGAAAATATTTTAAACCATACCGTGTTAGTAACTCCGTGACTTTCAGAGAGTTTTTGTAATAAAGGTGAATCTGTTTGTTGTTTCTCGTTGCCATTGGTGTTTATTACAATTTTACTTGTAACAGTATTCACTGAGTTTGTATGCTCTTCACAATCACTCTTTGAATCACTAGAACTCTGTAAAAACAGAATTTCACCCATGCCACTCAAACGATCTTACAAAAAGCAGAAACATATTACACAATCAATATCAAAAAGCAATAGGCATTATTAGCATCTGAATATCTGAAGAATACGTCTTAATACGGAACTCCTACCACCCAGACTTGTAGTTTCGGTACCTAGAATTAAAATGTAATTCCAAGGAATTTAACAACGGCATATTTTGCAAAACCACAGTGGCGAAGAAGTTATATTCAATATGAGCTATGATGGTCATTCGAGATGAAATAAAGAGGTACAGTAAATCTCCAGATCGAGATAGTCAGCGTTCAGGTTGAATAAATGTGTAAAATGTAATTCAGTGTAGAAGAAATCGGAAGTCTCAAATCCGATCTAGATTTCAATACCACAAAATGTCATGATATATCTATCAATTCAACATCGAATAAATCCGATTAGCTTGAAATTTTCACAATTAATGCTAAGATTTTATTGAATGATTGCTTATATTTTCATGAAGTAAATGCCAATGCAAAGTAAAAATCCTACTAGTGAAACTTTAAGATGTGATGCATCAACCCCAAAATGAGACCCCTGGCGTTTTATAAGTAATTCGAAGCATGTAAACATTTGATGAAACATGTTGAGGGTTGCTTCCATTACCTGGAAATATTTCAAAGCGTACCTTGTCATTAACTCCGTGACTTTCAGAAAGTTTCAGTGACAAATCTTCATTTGTTAGTTGTTTCTCGTTGTCATTGGTGTTTATAACGATTTTACCTGTAGCAGTATTCATTGACCTCGTATTTTCCTCACGATCACTCCTAGAATCACTAGAGCTCTGTAAAAACAGAGTTTAACCCATGTAACCAATACGATTTTATAGAAAAACAGAAACATATTGCACAATAAATACCTAAAAGCTAAACAAACTTCTCAAAAAGGCCTTAGCTAAGCTTACAGTGTCCTGTTTAAGAACCCCTGTTCTAGCACTTGAAAATGGATTCTGCAATAAGAGACTCGATCACTTAAGTTCTTCTGACAATATTAGAATTTCGGATCTATTCCCATTTCAGGAAGCGTGTAAACTTTTGATCAGAGCAAAGAGTTTCTTCATTTACAAGAAAATATTATATATATATCCAAAAATCAAATTAGCTTGAGGTTTTCACAATCAATAGATTTGAATGAAATGATTGCTTATAGTTTGACGAAGTAAATGCCTATTGGAAATAATATCCATAGCGTAGCTTTAAGATGTGATGCATCAACCTAAAAATGAGTCCTCTGGCGTTTTTAAGTAATTCGAAGCGTATTAACATTTGATGAAACGTGTTGGGTGTTTCTTCCATTACCTGGAAATATTTCAAAGCATACCTTGTTAGTAACTCCGTGACTTTCGGAAAGTTTCAGAGACAAATCTTCATTTGTTAGTTGTTTCTCGTTGTCATTGGTGTTTATCACGATTTTACCTGTAGCAGTATTCATTGACCTCGTATTTTCCTCATAATCACTCCTAGAATCACCAGAGCTCTGTAAAAACAGAGTTTAACCCATGTAACCAATACGATCTTACAGAAAAACAAAAATATATTGTACAAATCATATCTAAAAGCGATATGGCAGTAGCATCTCAAAATCTGAAGAGTTGATAGGACCACAGATCAGAAGGATAGGATGTCAAGAAAATAGTATCAATACTGCAATCCTTGATTTGACGAAAATCTGAAATATGTTTTTTTGAAAGATATCTTTCGTTTCAATTACATTTGAATTGATAAAATCTAACCTCCAAAAGTTTGGCAACCCTAACTGCAAGATTGTTTGAGCATACTTTTGTTTTGATACTTTTTGAACACCATACATACGAAAAACATTTTTGAACATATATTTCAGTTATATGACTTATTGGGTCTCTCAGTATTCGAGGGGAATCGAAACTGTCATGATTAAAGGGACTCAGTATATTTTCCCGATCCTTGAATATATCAATTCAACATCGATTAAATCAAACTAGCTTGAGGTTTTCACAATCAATAGATTTGAATGAAATGATTGCTTATAGTTTGATGAAGTAAATGCCTATTGGAAATGATATCTATAGCGTAACTTTAAGATGTGATGCATCAACCTAAAATGAGTCCTCTGACGTTTTTAAATAATTCGAAGCATGTAAACATTTGATGAAATATGTTGGGTGTTTCTTCCATTACCTGGAAATATTTCAAAGCATACCTTGTTAGTAACTCCGTGACTTTCGGAAAGTTTCAGTGACAAATCTTCATTTGTTAGTTGTTTCTCGTTGTCATTGGTGTTTATAACGATTTTACCTGTAGCAGTATTCATTGACCTCATATTTTCCTCACGATCACTCCTAGAATCACTAGAGCTCTGTAAAAACAGAGTTTAACCCATGTAACCAAAACGATCTTACAGAAAAACAAAAATATATTGTACAATTCATATCTAAAAGCGATATGGCAGTAGCATCTCAAAATCTGAAGAGTTGATAGGACCACAGATCAGAAGGATAGGATGTCAAGAAAATAGTGTCAATACTGCAATCCTTGATTTGACGAAAATCTGAAATATGTTTTTTGAAAGATATCTTTCGTTTCAATTACATTTGAATTGATAAAACCTAACCTCCAAAAGTTTGGCAACCCTAACTGCAAGATTGTTTGAGCATACTTTTGTTTTGATACTTTTTGAACACCAAACATACGAAAAACATTTTTGAACATATATTTCAGTTATATGACTTATTGGGTCTCTCAGTATTCGAGGGGAATCTAAACTGTCATGATTAAAGGGACTCAGTATATTTTCCCGATCCTTGAATATATCAATTCAACATCGATCAAATCAAACTAGCTTGAGGTTTTCACAATCAATAGATTTGAATGAAATGATTGCTTATAGTTTGATGAAGTAAATGCCTATTGGAAATGATATCTATAGCGTAACTTTAAGATGTGATGCATCAACCTAAAATTACTCTTCTGACGTTTTTAAATAATTCGAAGCATGTAAACATTTGATGAAACATGTTGGGTGTTTCTTCCATTACCTGGAAATATTTCAAAGCATACCTTGTTAGTAACTCCGTGACTTTCGGAAAGTTTCAGTGACAAATCTCCCTTTGTTAGTTGTTTCTCGTTGTCATTTGTGTTTATATCGATTTTACCTGTAGCAGTATTCATTGACCTCATATTTTCCTCACGATCACTCCTAGAATCACTAGAGCTCTGTAAAAACAGAGTTTAACCCATGTAACCAAAACGATCTTACAGAAAAACAAAAATATATTGTACAATTCATATCTAAAAGCGATATGGCAGTAGCATCTCAAAATCTGAAGAGTTGATAGGACCACAGATCAGAAGGATAGGATGTCAAGAAAATAGTGTCAATACTGCAATCCTTGATTTGACGAAAATCTGAAATATGTTTTTTGAAAGATATCTTTCGTTTCAATTACATTTGAATTGATAAAACCTAACCTCCAAAAGTTTGGCAACCCTAACTGCAAGATTGTTTGAGCATACTTTTGTTTTGATACTTTTTGAACAACATACATACGAAAAACATTTTTGAACATATATTTCAGTTATATGACTTATTGGGTCTCTCAGTATTCGAGAGGAATCGAAACTGTCATGATTAAAGGGACTCAGTATATTTTCCCGATCCTTGAATATATCAATTCAACATCGATCAAATCAAACTAGCTTGAGGTTTTCACAATCAATAGATTTGAATGAAATGATTGCTTATAGTTTGACGAAGTAAATGCCTATTGGAAATGATATCTATAGCGTAACGTTAAGATGAAAAATGAGTCCTTTGGCGTTTTTAAATAATTCGAAGCGTAAAAACATTTGATGAAACATGTTGGGTGTTTCTTCCATTACCTGGAATTATTTCAAAGCATACCTTGTTAGTAACTCCGTGACTTTCGGAAAGTTTCAGTGACAAATCTCCCTTTGTTAGTTGTTTCTCGTTGTCATTGGTGTTTGTCACGATTTTACCTGTAGCAGTATTCATTGACCTCGTATTTTCCTCACGATCACTCCTAGAATCACTAGAGCTCTGTAAAACAGAGTTAAACTTAGGTAACCAATACGATCTTACAGAAAAAAGAAACATATTGCACAATAAATATCTAAAATAAATATAAAGCTAAACAAACTTTTCAAACAGGCCTAAGTTAAGCTAAAATAAGGAGGTTAAGATTAGCGTAAAAATATATGTGTACCTATCCCTATCCGTATTTTTGTTACGGATACGTATAGGACTATAGGTAATAGAGAGATTTCGCACCTAGTGAAAGTACAACTTATAACGTATACTTATACTTATAGGTAAACGTACAAGGTGTTTCATAATGTGGGCTTTTCGTCAGGAAAGATCTTCTCGGACTGTAATAAATACAGGTCAAAGGGATGCCATTTGTACTTTCTTGAATTGTAGCATGTTTAGTTGATCCAAATGTGTTTGTCTAGAATAAAATAGGCTCATATATAGTTCATATGTTATAGACCCATCTCTTTTCAAATTGACTTTTTGGAGATGATCGTTATGAAACACCCTGTATGTCATATGTTGAGCTACTGAATTTACTGTTTCCAGGAATTGCTAGAACCTACTGGTTTGATTGGTGTTTCAAATTGATGGTTAAAGTATTTGATTGGATACTGTTCCCACTCAGCCAATTAATTTCAAAAAATGCTTGCGGTCAATTGTTCCACACACGTGTAGACAAATCTTTATACGGAGATCAAACTGTATACGTTATCATCTACGTAAATATACCGTTTTGTAAGTTCATTGAACTTATACTGATCATGAAAACATTGAAATAATCAACTTGTTTATGGAATGACTCACTTTAAAGAATCATGACTCACTTTAAAGGATCGTGTTTGTAATACACTACAACTACAAGGACACGGAAGCAAGCATTTAATCATAATGTGCATAATCTACACGTGCAGATAACAGTGCATTCACAGTCTCTAGTTGATGGAGCTTTTCTATAACGGGAATAGTTATGTTCCATTAAGTACAATTTAAAATTGATTTTAGTAAATATAATAGTTCGACATGACCCTTTAAACTATACGTATACGTATAAGTTGTACTTTCACTTATGTGCGAAATCTCTCTAATGTGTATTGCAAAAGAGAGAGAAAATGGCTGATTTCATACATTAACAATAAGCAAAACTGATGAAGAATGTGTAAATTCTACAATTCCATGTAGTCCCTGATCTGGACCCTCTGAAAAAAAGTTTTGTTGTCCGGTACTTTCCCACATAAAATGCTTGTACCGTTTGAAAGAACAGACTTCCCTCTTAAAGAAAACACCTCTTCTATTGATGTAAACAGGGGCAAAAGGCACCAAAACGGGGTTAGACAAGGTGGCATTCTGAAGTCTCACTTTCTTGTCATCACGATTCCAGGTAAACCATCAGACGGATTTACTTCAAATTTTCACACATGTTACATGGTAAGAAGTTCTAGAGCTGATTAACTTTGCGGCGGCCATCTTGGATTTTTTTTCAGATAAATATTGTCATCGCGATTCCACAAAAACCACATAACAGATGTACTTCAAATGTTCACACATGTTACATGGTAAAAAGTCCTAGACCTCATTATTTTTTCGGTGGCCATCTTGCATTCTGGCAGCCATCTTGGAAGTTTTAAGATAAATCTTGTCATCACGATTTCAGGAAATCCAAACGGATTTACTTCAAATTTCCACACATGTTACATGGTAAGAAAATATAGAGGTGAATAACTTTTCGGCAGCCATCTTGCATTCTGGCGGCCATCTTGGAAATTTTGGGATAAATCTTGTCATTGTGATTCCAGGAAAACAACCTAACAGATTAACTTCAAATTTTCACACATGTTACATGGTATGAAGTTCTAGAGCTGATTAACTTTTCAGTGGCCATCTTGCATTCTGGTGGCCATTTTGGAAGGTTTATAGATAAATCTTGTAATCACGATTCCAGAAAAACTACTTCACAATTTTACTTCGAATTTTCACACATGTTACATGGTATGAAGTTCTAGAGCTGACTGACTTTTCGGTGGCCATGTTGCATTCCGTCGGCCATCTTGGAAGTTTTTAGATAAATCTTGTCATCACGATTCCATGAAAACCACGTAACAGTTTTACTTCAAATTTTGACACATGTTACATGGTAAGAAATTATAGAGCTGATTAACTTTCCGATAGCCATCTTGCATTCTGGCGGCCATCTTGGAAGTTTGTAGATAAATCTTGTCATCACGATTCCAGAAAAACGACTTTACAGATTTGCTTCAAATTTTCACACATGTTACATGGTAAGAAGTACTACAGCTGATCAACTTTTCAGTGGCCATCTTGCATTCTGGCGGCCATCTTGTAAGTTTTTAGATAAATCTTGTAATCGCGATTCTAGGAAAACCACTCAACAGTTTTCCTTCAAATTTTTACACATGTTACATGGTAAGAAGTTATAGAGCTGATTAACTTTTAAGTAGCCATTTTGCATTCTAGCAGCCATCTTGAACGATTCCAGGAAAACTACTTAACTGATTTTCTTGAAATGTTTACACATGTTACATGGTAAGAAAGACTAGAACTGTTACAAAAACAGAGTAAACAAAGCACATGGTGAACAACTGCCCTGTCAACCCTCACGCATTAGGCGTGTTTGTCACGCATTTGCTGGAAAAATAGAAATCACGCATCAAATTAGCGTGTATGATCAAATATCACGCATATCACGCATTTTGTTGAAATTTTTAAAATTGTTTTTTGTGAAATCGCGACACGGTAAAATACCGAACGGCGAAAAAAGCGAACGCATTCCGTTTTTTGCACGCCATTGCCGTTTATGTCACGCATTTTGTACAAAATATGTGTATATATCACGTTTTTGAGGTGATCCCCCCCCCCCCCGTTGACGGATTTGAACAGTGAGCGTAAGCGAGCTGGAAAATTTTTAGGTGTCCAAAATCTGCCAGTGTTCACTGAAGCTGTCCAAAGTTTGAAGGAAGGTGTTCAACATTTGGAAGTCACTCATGTTAGATGGTCCCAAGTTGACAGCCCTGGAACAAAATCGGCCTAAAACATAGCAGTGTGGACCTGATGTCCCAGAAAGCAAGATGGTCGAAGAGTTAATCAGTTGATGAACATCTTACCATGTAAAGTGTAAAAATTTGAGGACAATCTGTTAAAAAATAGCTCAGAAGACAACAGAATCGTCGATTTAATTCCTAACTTAAGTTACATAAAGGTTTGGGTTAAAAGTGCAGATCTGAACTGTTTTTTTCGAAATACCGTTTATGTAACTTAAGTGAGGAATTAAATGTACTATTATATTGTCTTCTGAACTATTTGTTCGCAAATATGCATATTTTCTTAAACAATGATACTGATACACGTTTGTGAGAAAAACGTTGTGGGAATTCTGCCTACAAAGTGTGAAATAAGGAAAAAGGAAAAATCATACCTTCGATGTTCTCACATTTTGTTACCGAAACAAACCGTTTAGGTAACCAACATAATCGAGTGGATCACTTGTGATATACTTTAGTAGTCGTTAATAATGTTAGGGAGGATGAGTTGTAAGGCATACTATGTCATGTTAGATCATGATCTATACTACTTTTATTACAATTTACCAGTTACACTTTCTCCATGCTAGGTTCTGTTATAACTTTTGTTCCGTTTCCTATACCGTGCTTTATACATTCACAATGGTCCCTTCCTGGTATATTTTTTTTAGGTTTTATGACTGTTAAATTCTATAGTCTTGTTAAGACCACTTTATAAACAGGTTTATTATTACTTTTATGACTGTTAAATTATATAGTCTAGTTAACACCACTTTATAAACAGGTTTATTATTACTGGTGTAACTAACACAACGAAAAAAATATAATTAATTCATTTGATTTTATATAACATGAAATTACTTTTTTCTTTTCGATAAAACATTGCTTATTAGAAATATATTTAGTTGAAAACTTAGAGTAAACAATCAGTTCTTCTATCACAAAGTTTATTTTGGTTCAGTAGATTTTTCTACATCCTCCTAAGCAGGTGTCCAGAATCCGTACCTCCTTCTTCCCCCTGCTATAACCAATTTGGACGCGCCCGATTTAACTGAATCACGTGATCCAATAATGCGCAATGACTTATACATGATTTCTGTCGCAGTGTTGCGACAGCCAATCAGATTGCGAGTTCTTAATCGGGGAAATGCTAACTGCTTATCGCAGGGGGTAAAAAGAAAGAATTTGTTCTGGATTTTGAACCCCTGCGATCGGAGGATGATTTTTCTATACATTATTTTTATGTCACACCACTAGTGATTGGGTGACATACTGTAATAGCTTCGAACGTTTATCTTGACACTGTTCAGTAGTTAATGTGTACTGTATACTCAACAAGGTGTGGTGACATTTTGCATGTTTCTGCATCGTCACTACTATTGAAAGCTTATGTTGATATTGTAGCAGTGTTTTTTAAGTTCTTTTTGTTGGTACAATTAGTTTCCAAACCCTATACTTATATCGATCTGACACACAGTTTTAGTGCAGGTTTAAGTGATTTTTGTTGATTATTAAACACAAAGAGCACATGTGTCTCGAACTCGCAAAATTGTGGTTACAGAGCCTATTCACATAGTTTGACATGCTGGTGCTCTCAACCAGCTCGTTAGTTAATATCTGACTAAGAGACAGCTTGCTTTCCCAATGACGAAACGTTATCTGCAGCTTTTATGAGTACTATAGTATCTACAACTATTTTTGATCTTATATGAGTATTGGATATCATTATTTTCATTTTTCTTCAACATGTATTTTAATGACTTCAGTATGAATGGAATGTCCCTCGGAGTTGTGGTCGTTGATGAGGAATTGGTCATGGAACGGTGTGGATGCTGTTTATTCCCATATTAGATTATTGTCTTGGGATATTCAGGTTTGATTTTTGTTTGCCAGTTTTACACTTTACAGTTTGCTTTTCCCACTAGGTTGCTTTACACTTTTTTCCTTTCTCATTTGTCATTTTTGTTTATTAGTAAGGATATGATATGCAGGTCTCTCCTTCTGTGTGATCACCTGTCCAGAAGATAATTCAACTGCATGAAGAACATTTCGTTGACATGATGCACAGTGAAAGGTTTTCCACACATTTACATTTTCGTTTAAAAGAGCTTTAATTCCGTTATATACTCAGATCAAGGCCAATTTAGCATACATTTCGCTCTCAAAAATCGCTGTGCATAATGGATTTCAAAGAAATGTTTGATGTTTTCAATAATCTTTTTTCTTTTTGATGAAATGTAGTTATTTATTCTAAAAATTCAATCGATGTCATACACAAAATGCATTTAAGTGGAATAAAGTACAGAAGCAGAGTAAAAATATGTATTTTAGATATCACCATGTGTTAACCCATTGTAGCGCCTCTTGCCCATGTTTCTATCAATATAAAACATGATATCATACACCAAATATGCATTTATGTCAAATTATGTGGTTTAAAATACAGAAAATAGATAACATTCTCCTTAGAATACCACCTTGTGTAACCCCACTTTACTGCCTTTTGCCCCTGTTTATAGCAATATAAAAGGTAGCATGTAACCTTCCTTGTAACATGTGTAAAAGTTTCAAGAAAATCAGTAAAGTGGTTTTCCTGGAATCACAATGACAAGATTTATAAAAGATTTATTAAATTTGAAGTAAATCTGTCTAATGGTTTACCTGGAATCGAATGTGTTCGACCACTTAACTTCTATGTTGTTACTATTTTAAGGTTTAATGTATGATATTTGATCTAGAAATGACATAATTTTTTTTGGATAAAAACATACGTTTTCGAATTACCTATCTTCGTATCGTAAACCCTGTAACTTAGGTAAAATACCGCTTAGTACAATAACAAACTACCTATAGGTACAGGTAAATGGGTTATTTACGCTAATCTTAAACTCCATATTGTCCTGTTTAAGAACCCTTTCTTGCTCTTGAAAATGGATTCTACAATTACAGACTGGATCAAGTTCTTTTTAGAAAATTAGATTTTGGATCTATCCCCATTTCAGGAAGCGTGTAAACCTTAGATTTAATTTGCAAAGAGTTTCTTAGTTTTCATGAAAATAATTTAAACCATACCGTGTTAGTAACTCCGTGACTTTCAGAAAGTTTCGGCAATAAAGGTAAATGTGTTTGTTGTTTCTCGTTGATGAAACGTGAAAAGGGTGTATTCGTTTTTAGATGGAAATAGAGAGCCTCGATATAGGCCTACATTTTCAGACAAACTTATACTGCAACATTAACTTTTAAAAAGACGTCAACACCACTGGGGAAAAGAATTCGCAACGTACATTTCATTAGGAAAAATTCCCTCGTTTTCTAATTATCAAGGGAATTAAACTGTTAATATCCCATCCATGGCCGATAAAATTTGTTGTTGTAATCATATTTTAAAACCTGAACTCACGAACTACATACTTTGGCGAATATTTTACTGTGATTTGAAGGATGATAGCATATATGTATTCCAAATAACTTATATCGAAAGCTCTCTACAGTTAGGTTCAGTAAGTAAGTCAACCTTCGGAAATAAAAATCTCAAAAATCGTATATCTTTGATTTCCACAATAATTTGTGAGGTTGTTATTAAGATGATAATACACATTTTAACGTATTAATTTTGCGTACATCTCAAATCCATTTTCAACAAAGCGTTCGCGAAATAAGTATTCGCAATGATTGAGATTTGGGTGATGAAAGTATGAAGATATACTGCTCCTTAACAAATTCCTTTGGGAACAAGATATAGAATCAAAAGCATTTTCTTCTTATTTATTCACTGATACGTGCCAACGAAGTACATATTTCTGTTTTAAATAATTTTGTAAACGTTGTTATCTACAGGTGCCATTTTTAAAGTTGAGCAACAAAATTGAACTTTTGCATTTCTAAATTGATAAATGTCAGCGTGTCAACCCTTGTTTTCCGAAGTGATATGTTTTTAAATTAACAGATGTAAGCTATAAACTCAAATAAAAATTCCAACTACCCGCTATTATTATGCACAAGACAAAATTTAAATTCCCGGGGAGCACTTTATAACACTTTGAAGGAGGATTCTTGAAAAATCGTTCGAATTTCCACAAGAGGTTTCATACATTTTCATTGCTTTCTTTGAGCCTCATCTGAAATCTCACTCAAATCCGATACCGTAATTATAAATCAAAATGAAACATTAGACTCACCAGGTTAGATGATTGAGTTAAACTGTGGATATTTATATAATGTAAGTCGGAATGTTTTCGACAATTAATGTACACTTATGATGTATGCATTAACGTGTGACTAAATATCAATTCACGACCATCATATTTGGCTTTCGAAAATTAAGTTTTTCATTTATTTATTTATTTTTATTATAGGCGATTACCGAAAACGTCAATCACATCCAAATATCTGAACGACTTCAAGTATTAACAATACAATTTTCATACATCTCGAACAAAGCAAGGTTCTTTGATCCAGCAATGTGCAGTGCATTCCGAAAGAAAAAATTAACAAATATTTATACAATTTTCATTGAGTATGAGATAACATTCGAAATTACAAATTTCAAAATATTTGCTTCAACCAAGAATTGTAGGAACTTTAAACATGTTGGTTTTTCAAACCGTATATCCTCATTCACGTTCTTTGACAAGGATGAATCCATTTGAAAGCATGGATTTTCTTAATTATTCTTCAAAACTACCCTTGAAATATAAGTATGTAGGATATTACAGTACAAATTGACACATCTTTGTTTGCTCCATATCATGAAAAAATAAATGCAACTGCAACTTACCATCTGTCATTATTCGAAAGCAGAAAGTTCATTTTATATGTAAACAAGAAAAAATACACCTTTTAAAGTAATTCAGAAGTTTAGGTGAATATTTATCCTATAAATAGGTTTTAATAGGTATACTGATTATAAGCGTTCATGCATGGAGTGGGTTGGCTCACGGCCAGGCCAGATCAATTGAATTCATTCAGTCAAAACATGATCGATTGAGCAGGACGCTTCGGATTTTATATAGTCAATTTTATACGTTTTAATTATTTATTACAAATTATGGCTTTACAAGACACACAAGAACAAGGTAGACGCTGCACACAATGCAAGGAGCTAGTTCGTGGACATAAAGGTCCCATAGGACCAAAATGTTCAAACTTAGACGTGAAAGTCGAGGCCGAGCTGCCACGCCCAGAACCGGTTTCCACGGCCGATACAAACCAAGACATTCCAGGATGGCAACTTGCTATGATGGAAGTGTCCCAACAGATATCTGGACTAGTTGCGGTAACAAAGGACTTGCAAGTCGAACAAAATAACATGAGGGAACAAGTTGTGCACATATCAAAAGAATTGGGGGAGATAAAAATTCAAACTCAGCGACAAGCCACACCCATTGAACAAAGATCGACCGCCGTGGATCAAACATCAGCCGGGGAACAGAACTCCATCCCCGATACGGCAACAGGAACACATGACACGACAGACGTATTTAACGTCCCGGTTCCAGAAAAAGTCATCAAAACCATAAAGAACGGTGAGTTTGTTCAAATGATTGACATTTTACCCGCCAATTTACTGCACGACCATCATGAAAATCCCGATCCGATATTGTCACTTGAAAATGGCCAACTGCGACAAAAACAAACCAGAAAAATCAAAATAATTGAAAATTTCTCCCAATGGCTGAGCGCCTGGAATATTTTCGAGGCTATCATTGTACAAAATGCACCACACACCTATCCTGGATTATGTACATATCGAAATATAATCCAAGAAGCCGACGCCAAGTTCAAGTGGAACGCCGTCAACGCCTATGACGTCAAATATAGAAGCAAATTATCACAAACAAAAAGTCAACAATTTGGGAATATCGACACACAACTATACGTGACAACGTTCGACTCGACAGCTGTGAAGCAGCACATCATCAAATGTTATCGCTGTGCAGGAGATCATAAGGTCTCCAATTGCCCGTTTCAAGCGGGGACCACGGTGGCGACGTCGTCGGCGCCGTCTACGACAACAACAACATACAGCAAGGATAAGATTAAAAACGAAATCTGCAATAAATATCAACATGGAGAATGTAAATATGGATCACAGTGCTTCAGAATTCACAAATGCCAAGGTTGCGGGGCAAGTGATATCCCAAAATACAAATGTAAAAAGTGCATTGGAGGAAATTAAGCCCTACAAACCATTGTGCCCAATAGCTTTAGCCCATGGCTTAAGAAATCACCCTGACAAAAATTTTGTAAATTATATTGTTGAAAATGCTACACATGGTGTTAAACTTGGGTACAATGGTCCAAGGGAATCCCGTATTCATGGAAACTGGAAATCAGCATTAGATAATAGTGAAGCCATACAACAAAATATCGATAAAGAAATGTCCAAAGGAAGGAAAGTAGCATTCAGTTCTATACCGTGTGAAAAGTACGTCGGATCTCCGATGGGTGCATATGCAAAAAAGCACTCGAACCCTACAAAATATCGCATTATACACGACCTCTCATGGCCCCCAGGGAAATCCGTGAACGAATTTATTTCCAAAGAAGAATATGGATGCCATTACATAAGTATCGATACTGCAATTAATTTAGTGAAACAATGTGGAAGATCAGCGCTAATGAGCAAGCTTGATTTAGCTGACGCGTTTAAATTTATTCCAGTACATAAATCTGATTGGGAACTCCTAGGAACAACGTGGGAAACACGAAATGACATCACGGGCGAAAACGTCACGACATATTATATTGACTTAGTTCTACCGTTTGGTGCACGCAGTTCGCCAAAACTGTTTAGCGAATTTGCAGATGCCTTGGAATTTATAATGCGACAAAATGGTGCAACAGTATGTCCCCATTATTTAGATGATTACTTCACATGTGGACCTAGAAACAGTGACGTATGTAAGAACAATCTCGATATAATGGTACAGACATGTGCCGACGTTGGCTTCAGCATCAATCCGTCGAAACTCGTACAACCGTGCACCTCCATAGAATTTCTTGGACTTATCATAGATTCGAACAAATTTGAAATCCAAATTCCGCAAGATAAGCTCCAAGACATCACAACAGATTTGAAAAAATGGCTCGTCAGGAAAAGAGCATCAAAGCGACAAATATTGTCTCTAATAGGTAAACTGACGTTCATTTGCCGAGTCATATACGCAGGAAAAACGTTCTTGAGAAGGATTATTGATCTTTCTACAACGTTAAAACACTTACATCACAAGATGAAAATCAGCAATTCTTTCAGATCGGACATATCTTGGTGGTTAAGCCACCTACCCTCATGGGGAGGCTCACGGCCAGGCCAGATCAATTGAATTCATTCAGTCAAAACATGATCGACCACACCCACCCACCCATTATGATTTAATTGTATGTATATACGTATTATAATTGTATTTTATAAGAAAACACAAATACCCCAAAAAACAAAAATTTATAATTGATTCAAGTTATTTAATTTTACTTAGGGCGGTTATTATTTTATAAAATAAGAATTGGAATAAATGATCGTCCATTTTAGCCCAACACGACTTGTTCTGTCATTTGATTGATTATTGCGTTGGTGATTAAAGAAAAACTATTAACCATATTTTAAAGATTGCTTCACCAGTATGTAACAGAACATCAAAATTATCATTTACACGTTTGCTGATAGGTATATTAAAAATAATAAACCAGAGGTTTACTTCAATTGTGGCACCATTGATTCTCAGAAAATATTGATGAACATAGGAATTTCGAATGTTCACTTAGTTACTGAACCTGACTGCTTAGTATTTCAAAGTATACCTTGTAAGTAACTCCGCGACTTTCGGAAAGTTCCGGCAACGAAGGTCCATCTGTTCGTTGTTTCTCTTTGCCATTGGTGTTTATTATGATTTTACCTGTATTTGTATTCATTGACCTTGTATTCTCCTCACGACCACTTTTAGAATCAATAGAACTCTGTAAAAACGGAATTTAACCCATGTAACCCATAAAAAACAGAAACATATTGCACAATACATATCTAAAAGCGATATGGCAGTAGCATCTCAAAATCTGAAGAATGTGTTAGTGTGACTAGTTACCCCCCAAAGATTATCCCAACCTGGCCAGTTCACCTCAGACGCTAGTTCAACGTCGTTAAACTCAATAACGGCGTTCTTTACTATTAGGAATTTTTTCTTGGGGCCATTATTGAGTTTAACC